CTTAGAGGAGGATTAAACCCGACGCTCAATGCCCAAAAAGGGTTAAAGAGACGCGTTGCGTAAAGTAGACGCAACTATTTTTTTAAAAATATCAGCAAACGCCATCCAACGGTGCTGTTCTGCGCGCTGAGGACCGGGTCTGTGCGGGTTGCTTTGCTGCCCCTTCGAGACAGGAAGCTTCCAAGTTCATTGTGATAACAACATACGAACAGACCACTGTGATCATCCCATTTTCACCTCTATAAATTGTTAACGTTTCTTACGTCATTTGCATCAGGGAATAAATACATTTACGGAAATAAAATATTTTAATGGTTGAAGCTAGTTTTTGGGCCCCTTTCAACGTTTTCAGGGGGACCACAGCCTCTTTGCTCCCCTGTGATTATTATTATTATTATTATTATTATTATTATTATTATTATTATTATTATTAATATTAATATTAACTCTTGCAATTACATTACAAAAAAGGAAGAACTGTAGAAAAGTAGAACGTATTCTCTATATGGAAGATTGAAAACCCCAAAAATATTATTTCATATTATCAAAGACTAATGAAATGAAGGTGGTTAACAAATTCTGAAATAATACAATACTTATCGCGAATACCGCAGTAAACAATTTTATGAACATTTAATTGAAATGTTTTATATTTACCAAGATCTGGATTTGCATGTTGCAGAGACCTATACGAATAGCAGGAAATCATGTTATCCTGCCGAATTTAAAAAGTATTGCATCACTTATAATTATAATCACTGAAATTCTGTTGCAAAGAGACACGCGATTCAAACTATTGCTAAACATTGTCTAATATACACTCACTAATGTCACATAACCTTTGCAATTACGAACATTCAAACTTCGAAAGTAAAAACAAAGAACAAACTCGCTGTCTTCGCTTCCACAACCTCATGTTCACACACGCTTGCTGACGCTTGGGCAAGGCCTTCTTGCAGGTTTTGACACAATTAAAGGGCACATTGTACAAATAACGGCAGATTCATTCTTTAAATTTTACGATTTTATTAAAATTTATTATTCATAAAACCGATTAACATTAATAAGCGATAATACATCTGGGGTCCATTACCTTTCATTGAAAGCTAAAACCACGAAATTTGGTTAAGCAGAAAGCTCAAATTTCTTCATAGTTAAAATTCCTTAGTGTTTTAAATATAAATATATTATTATTGTTATTATTATTCGTACTATCATTATAATAA